GATGCAAAAATGAGCCTTCAATTGATGAATACCTGATACGGCACCGTGCGACTTTTTCCTTTTCATTTGCCCATGAAAGGAAAGCGTTATGTAAACGTAGAGGCAGGGTTTTCATTAATACTCCGTTTTAGCAAAATTTCTAGAATTATTGCTATGCTATCGCACTTTGTCGGGAGCCACAGCAGAACCATAGCATAAGCTTAGTATCCAGCTCTCAAGAAATGTATAAACTTCATATAAAAAAACGCTTAAGAAACGGTCAAGAAACTTTCCTGCGATAAATTTACTTGTGCTAGTATGCAGCTCTAAAGTAATCTAGTACTAATTTTTAATACTTTTTTTCAATAAAATGCGAATATGGCAAACCTGGTTTTGCGAAGAAACATCAAATCAACAATTGTTTCTTGAACGAAATTCAAAAAAATCATTAAATTCATCATAAATTAGTTAAATTCATTAAAATGAAGTATATTTCATTTGCCTCCGCCTCCGCAGATCCTACAGGAGATCTAGGCGCAGAGGAGAAGCCCAAGAAGCCGAGCAATACAATGCAGCAAAAAAGGAGCTGAAGCACGACATCGACGACAGTAAAAAGAGTAAATGGGAGGAACTACGGGAGGATGTAAACAGAACCCCCTGGGGGCTAGGGTATAAAATAGTAATGAAAAAACTCGGTGCTCGAGCAAAGCCACCTGACGTAACCGCTGCCAAAATGGATCACATCGTGAACGCACTATTCCTCACACACGAAATAAGGGCCAGGGATCCAGAACAAATTCTAAGTACTGCGCAAATCCCCCAGTTCACCCTTGAAGAACTGCAAGGAGCCACTGGTAAGCTCAAGGCCAACAAATCACCCGACCCGGACGGGATCCCAGCAGAAGTCCTCAACATAATCGCAGCAGAGCGTCCAGAAGGAAAAAACAACGGCTGGTGCTAATCAGTAAGGGAAAGGAGACCCTAACTCGCCATCGGCATACCGTCCATTATGTATGCTTGACACAGCGGGAAAGCTGTACGAAAGCCTACTTAAACCCAGACTCGAAGCGGCTATCAACGAAGCTGGAGGACTGTCCCATAGACAACGCGGCTTTAGACCCGGCAGATCAACCATAGGAGCTATAAAGTGCGTCATAGAAAGCGTAGATGCCGCGCAGCGGAGATGGCATAAATATAAAATAATAGTGTTGCTGGCGACTCTAGACGTCCGAAACGCCTTCAACAGCCCTCGAGAAAAGCTTCAAGGGACCACGACAGATAGCAATCACGTCAGGGGCAGCACAAGGATCCATTTTAGGCCCAGACCTGTGGAACATCAGTTATGATGAAATATTAAAACTAGAAATGCCAGATGAGTCGTATCTAATTGGCTAGGCGGACGACATTGCAGCAGTAATCATAGCAAGTGATACAGAAGAAGCGCGAAGAAAGCTGAACCAGGTCATGATACGGACGCAAGCATGGCTCGACACACACAACCTCCAGCTCGCTACGGAGAAAACAGAGCTACTACTGCTAACAAAAAGACACATACCTCTCGAGATAAGCATGCACACGACTACGGATATTCTTAGGACACAACAGGCAGTAAACTACCTAGGCGTAAGACTGGACCCTAGACTAGACGCGCTTAAAAAGGTAAACCGGCGTAAGGCAATGGCCAGAGTATACCGCACCGCAGCCCTCAGAGTCGCTTCAGCCTACAAAACAGTATCAGGCGACGCAATATTAGTTATGTATATGCTCCAATCGACCTTCTAGCATATGAAATGAAAAAGCTGTGGGAGTTAAAGAAATCACCCACCAATAACAAGAGCACAAAACAACAAATAAGGAAGATACGATAACATCATGGCAACAAAGATGGGAGAACGAAAGTCGCGGCAGATGGACGGCCAGGCTGAWAAAAGATCTAGATTTATGGACAAGCCGTAATGGTGGGCGACGGTTCCTTAGGGAGGGGCTTTTAGTGACCTGCAAGTGGCACATACCGCTGCTTTGACGATAGCACCGATGATGCGGAAGGCATTTTCCACCCCCTCACCCGCAAAAAACAAAGTATCTTTCATTTTGAAATGTTGTATAAAACTTACCAATCATCAACAATATTCCTTAATGAAAACATTTATGTTACTTCACACATACATAATACGCACAAAGTTTATTTGCTTTGTTTATTCTCTCTTGCTCCTCTAATGTGGATCATTCACAATGTGTAACGATCTGTCAAAATTATTTGAGAAATAATGTAGTTTTTTTTTTGAGCAATGAAGCCAGAGCAAGAAATTAAGTGATGTGCTGTACTTTGGCGTAGCGGTAGCAAAACATTGGGACCGGTGGTAGAGCCGAGCTAATGAAAATTTTCATTTGCTACTACTCTGCATGTGTTTGTGGTTTTTCTTTTCTTTTTTTCTGTCATCTATGTATATAAAAGAAAGCGAATTTAACAGATGCCGGTTAAGAAAACCTCCGTTCACGTGAATGGTTTTTGTACAATAGAATTCTTTATTACCAGAATTTCATGGTTTAACCTTAAACTTAACCTAACATCTTAAACATACTTTTGGACCGTGCAAAAAGCTGTATTGAAGCTGAAGGAGACTATTTTGAATAAAATTAATTGATTTCGCCAAAAACACCATTTGTTCTTTTTTTTTTTTAAATCCTGTTTATTGGTTGATTCAGCCCACCTTGTAATTTACTACCAAACTCCACACAGTTCCGAGAAACACAAGACTTTTGCGCCACCAATCTAAAATTTATTCACCTCAATCAAAAACATAGAGCCATGGTCGCTGGAGAGCATCTTAAGAACAACCCTGATCCCACTGACTGCACCTCATTAAATAGTGAAAATATAAAATTTTATTTTTCAACCGCAAAGGTTATGATATTAACTACTAAAAAAGATGTAAATGTGTAAATAAAAACGCCAGAACCAGAAAATTATTTACCAGCGTAAATCAGGTTGGTATCCAGCTCTCAAGTAATTGCTCAAGAAAAAAAATGCATTATTTCTTCCAGCAAGTTTGACAGCTAAACAAAGAAAATAAACTTTTTGCGTATTATGTATGTATGTATGTGTGAAGTAACATAAATACATTAATTTCGATTTAACGAATGTTGTTGATGATTGGTAAGTGATGAAAAATAATTTGAAGAATCACTCAAACCTCATTCATCTGTTGAGTATGCCAGAGCGTAAAATTTGTCATCATACAGTATTTTCCATATCCACACTCAAGGAAGTAATACTAGAAAAAAAAGTGTATAAGGTCTAGTCAAAACAATATTATAATTTTTGCAATAAGTGGAAGATAATATTTAGAATAGGCAAAATGATCCGATCTAGGTAAAATTATACCTCTTTGTTCAAAACCTTGCTGCTATTTTTAAAGTAATTTCATAATGCCACTTTAATAGAACCCTGGGTTTTATTGGCAATAAACTAGAACAGTCAATTTTGACACCTTCTCTTGAGGTGCGTATTTCATTGCATAGACGGCAAACACAGCATATTTGAGGGGCCGCAATGAAATAATTTTGTAATCCCACGTTTAGCATGAGTAAATAAAATTAAGTTATCAATAAGTTCAGTTACTATTTGAAAGAGAGACTGAGCATTTCAGCCAGGTCCGCTAATAAAAAATAAACAAGTTGCATTTGCAAGATTGCATGATGACACAAAATGCAGAAATCCTATACCGAAATATGCCAGGCCATGAGAGCACCCATTGCAGAATCTAGATGACTATTGTGAATTTGGGCACCTTCTGCATTAAATATAATTTATAAAAATATATTTAAAACTTACCTTCCTTAACAATTTAGCGGCGAATTATGTCTTTATGTAAAATGWCAGCTGACATATGGTAGCAATTATATTTTTAATTGTCATTGCACGAAAATAAACATGRATTTTGGTGTGATATATTTTACAGCCATTGTAAATATTTTTGTGTTTTATTGTTGTTTCGTAACACCAGTTGGAAATTTCTAAAATTCGTGCAATACGCACACTCTGCAAGGGTTTTGCAAGAGCAAGGGAATCCCCTTAATATATAATAGAGATGGCGACGGACCAACGAAGATTCTAACCCTAAGTATATATAACGGGTCCAAGTAAAGTCACTTTTTTGAATAACCTTTTTTCGACGGATCATACGTGAGTCGTGTAAAGCTGTCATTCTATGTTTGTTTGGCATTTCATCATGGAAAGACTTAAGCCTTAGCAACTTTTACAAATTATTTCTACCAAATAAACCAAGTCTAGCACGCAGTGAAGAACATATAGCAGCGCTAGCTGAGTGTTGTACATGAAGATCGTGGAGAGTCGATTCGGCCCCGTTTGCAGCAATGATGACTGATGACTCCCCATTAAATTTTAAAATTTCTATAAATGGAACCTGGAAATATAAAAAGTAGACCTAAACATTTGGAAATAAGTAGTGTACTGGTTGCTGGTAATTAGTATTGTGATGATTTTCCAGGAAGGCAATGCACCGATTCATATAGCGAAGAAGACAAAGGCGTTCCATATTTCTCAGAAAATTGGATTACTGGAGTGACCTGTCTCAAGTCTAGATTTGAAAATTCCTGTGGAAAGTTCATTCAAGCAAAATGTACACATCTTTGAAGCAACATGACAGCCTTAGGAAACTTAAACATGCTGTTTTGGGAGAATGGGACAAAATTAAGTGCACACTGCATACTTGTCTTCGTTTCTCAAACTCGATTTTTGCAAAATTAAAGGTTTTTGCACTTTGAATAAGATATTTTATACATTTTACTATTATTTCTATAAGCATTACCAGTTATAATTACATAGCACAAATTTATTTCACAGACCAATTTGAACAGACTTTGTCTTAAAAAAATAAGTTGTCACAACTTTTACCCTAGCAACCTTGAATGTTTATTATATATCCATATTGAAAACAAAATTTAAACATATTGCTTTTTGTGTGGTTTTCATTTGTGTTTTATTTTATTTTTTTCAGGAATCATGTTATCGACGCATTACCTTATATTGGCAGTCCTGCATCATATCAGCTCATGCGGGACCAACTTCTTACAAATAGTGTACCTAAAAAAGTGGCACTAAACTGGCTTAACACTCTATCATTTATAAGGCGTCCCGATGAAGATACTGTTGAAACATTTTACACTATTCTTGAATTCTCGCGTGTCAAGGATGAACCCGAATACACATTATGTACAGCCGCTGTTATACGCAGCTTTTGTCTATATCATTCTAATTGCAAACAAAATATGCGAGTTAAATTGATCACAAATTCACTTGAAACAGAATTTGTCAAAATTTTTAATTCATTCCATGGTGAAAGGCGTTTACAAGAACGTTTGATTGTTATAATGAAAGGTCTTGGAAATATCGGCTTATTATCAGAACGATTTATTGTCCAACTGCATGAAGTAATATTGGATGAGAATGTGTTGTTGAATCTTCGTTTAGAATCAATTTATATATTTAGACGGACTGATTGTGCTTTACATCGACCCTTATTTTTAAATATCTTCTCAAACTTTAACATTCATTCAGAAGTACGAATTGCAGCTTATTTGCAATTTATGATTTGTCCTGACTACTTTTCAATCAAGCAAATAAAAAACACTTTAAAATTTGAAGAAATTAATCAAGTTGGGTCATTTGTATGGTCGCATCTAAAGAATCTAGCAAAGTCATCATCACCCTTATATATTGCAGTCCAGACTTTGTTGCTTGATGACGATATCTCGAATAAATATGAATTAGATATTCGAAAATTTTCCCGTAACTATCAACAAAATTTATTCTTCGACGAATTGAATTTCGGTGAGTTTGCAAAATTTAAGATTATAGTATTTTTTTTTCAAAAAACAAGTGGATATTTATAAATATAGGATTTGTCCGAAATATAATAGAACTGAGTCGATGTAAAAAAGTTTATTGAACCAATCGTTCCAATTCTTTCAAAATAGGTTCCTTCTGCGTCGATGCAGCGCGACCATTGAAAGCGCCACGGAAGGTATTCTCCGGAATAGCCTTGAGACCCGAGGTACATGCTGCTTGAATCCCTTTTCATTGGCTTTTTCATGCGGGAAACAAAAAAGTACGGGGTGGCCACATCTGCGCTGTAGGCCGGCTGCGGAAGCCAGCATTGGTTAGGTAGCTGTTTGCAAGAAAAGCGGTGTTACCGAAACACCCCACTTCTTGTTAAATTAACATTATCGTAAGTCTGCTGGATCTCATCAAACGTCTCTGTCGCAGATTTACCGAGCTTCGAACAGAATTTAAACGCGCACCTCTGCTCCAACGAACGCTGCATGTTTGTCCTGACTATCCAGGTGCTCGAAGACAACTGACCAGCCGCTCGTTCGTTAGCTAGGAACGCTCTCTAACGAATTCAGTTCGTGCGTCCATTTCCAGTCACGGCGGAAAAAAATCAGTCCTATTACTTTTCGGACAAACCCTTTAGTACCCTAAGTTTGTTAATATTTACAAATTTACAAATAGGCTTAGCATAATAACTGATCAGAAAATAATACTCTTAAAGCAAAATATAATACTTATGTATGTATACACTTTTTAGAGAAAAGAGATTTTTTTAATATTTTTTTAACAAATTTCTTTTTGTGTCCTTTAAAGGTAGCACTGTGGATATGAATGTAATTTTCGGTACAGAGTCATACCTACCACGGATGTTGACGTTTAATTTTACAACTAACCTTTTTGGCAATTCGGTAAACTTTTTGGAGCTTACAACAAGGGCCGAAGGTTTTGACGAATTAATAAGTTCGATTATTATTCCGGAACAATGGTTCAATGAAGGAAGCATATTAAAAAAAAACGGGTTAAAACATGTATTGGATATATTCGGAAAATGGTCTGAAAGTTTAAAGAAAAATAGTTCTGGTAAGGTCTCTATAATTTATACTCTTAACGTGCGTACTAAAAACTATTGAATATAAAATGTATTCCAGGTAAAACATCAAATATTTCAAGCGATAGTAATTTTTCGTTATTTAATCAATTCTCTAAAAAGGAAACATTGCTTAAGAATTCATCTCTTGGAGATGACTTATGTAAAACTAAATGTCTCCTGAATCGATCAATCCTAATTAAAGATGTACATATTTACAGAAAAGATTTACAAAAACTCATTAAAAACATGGGATATACACTTAAATACGACTACAACAATCCTAAAGCTTATTTTGGAGTGCGCATTTTTGGAAATGACTTACATTATTATGCTTTAAATGGGATACATGATTTCGCAAAGCTAGCCAATGAATTTAATATTTTGGAAAATATTTCGGAAATACTTTCTGGCCATGAAATTACTTATACGAAATCAAATATATTTCTGGAAGCTTCTTATATTGCGCCTCTAATGATTGGTTTACCGTTATCAATCGATTTGTTTGGCGCTTCTTCTATCGATCTACGTACATCAGGATATATAAACAACACGAATCCAAACGCTTCAGAATGGAACTTCGGTATAAAAGGCAAATTGAAGCCATCAATATTAGCTAATTTTGTAGGGACAATGAAATCAGATATGTTTTATGCGCAATCTGGTATTAAAGTGAAAAGTACTTTCTATTCAAACACGGAAGTTGAAGCAGAACTTATTGTTGATGGTAAGAACTTAGTTTCATTCTCGTTTAACTTACCACAAAATACTAGTGAAGTTTTAAGTGTGCAATCGGAGTTAATCAAAATCACAAAGAGTGAAAATGAACCGCAGACTGGTATTCAGTCTCGTATATCCAATACTACTTGCACATGGTCTTTGTTGGAAACTACATTTGGTTTGAAAATGTGTATTGACTACAGCGTTCCAAAGCTTAATAATTCTAAACAATCCATCTATCCTGGACATATTCTAAGTGGACCTCTGAGCTTCAGCATTGTGTTATCAAAATCTGACCCTACTACAAAAAAATGGACTTTCGAATTTACATCCAACAAACAAGAAAATAACTCAAAGTGGTCATTTATATTCCATACGCCAGGATCCTATCATGAACGTTCGATCTCAGCTAATATTAATATGTGCCCAGAAAGCTTTAATTCATCAGTTCTTTTTACACATGGACTCAATAAAGCAGCAATCATATGCCAATATTTAGGAGGTGCGATTTACAAACGATTCGATTTTTTATTACAAATGAATAACGTCAGTAGTCTTCATTTGAATATGGAACTCAAACGCTTACAAGAACGAAATATATGGATTTACAAACCGAAAATGTTATTGGCCATAAATGGTAACAATATAACAGGAGCTGTGGGAACAATGCGTGTATGTGAAAAAAATGGCATAACACAAAACGACATAGACTTTTCTTTTGAGACTCGTAAATTGCAAATGCTCATGCGTGGTATTATGATGCAGAGTGAGATTACAAAATCAGCAAATATCACCATAAACTATAGGGTAATACGATTTTTTACTTAGATCTTCATATATAGTTACTTTCTCGTAGTTACTTTCAAAAGCTAACGACAAATCTTATATGTTTGACAGTTTTACTTCTATGGAGCGTTCGTGAATTTGAATTTKTAATTGTAATTTATATTATAAGAAAAACAAGAAAGAGAGAGTTAAGATACCGTTCAAACGGGCGACAAACAGTCCCCACTGACGTCTGTCTGACACATGAGTGTCGTTAAATTATCGACCGTAAAACTACCACCGAGTGTGGTTTTTAGCTTTTCCCTTGTATTCGAAAATCGAGGGCAATAAACTAATACATGTTCAGAGTCTTCTATATACTGTAGACACGACGGACAGTTCGGACTAATGTCCTTGTGCAATTTGAAGAAGTAGCTTCTAAAGCATCCATGTCCACTAAGTATTTGGGTGAGATGGAATCTAAGTCCCCATGTCGTCTGTCTATCCACGAGTGGATGTCCGGTATTAGTCGATGGGTCCAGCGTCCTTTGGGTGAGGAGTTCCACCGCTCCTACCATATTTTAGTACTCTTATTCTCTCCTCTGTTCTTGCCGATACTGTTTTAGGCGTTGGTATTTACTATAAACGCCCAAGTTCATCTCCCTGGATGTCAATGGGCGGCCAAAATAAATAAATAGGTGTGGTTTCAATTAAAACTTCATTTTACTTCAAAACAAAAGACAATAAGAAAAACAAAAGAAGAATTTCAATATCTAAGGGAATTGAAATAACAAAGTATATTCGTTTTTGTGATGATAGTCAAAAAAAAAAAAAAAAAAAAACAGTTTTTCGTAGTTGAGCAGCATAAATTTAGTTTACATTTGGAACAAAAACACTGCGTTTCTGAACTTAGGCACAATTTACATTTACAAATGGTAAAAAGGTCTTGTTATCGGATTTCGAGTCTTTGCGTGGATATGGTAACGACGAATAAGTCCATCCATTAAGTATACTCCCCCCATATGGCTATTATATTTCCGTATAATTTTGGGGTAATCCACTTCTATATGCTGCTTTTGTTTTCGATCGTAGCGTGCAACTTTGGCCGATTGTCCTTTTCATTTTCTCTTTTAAATGGATGAATGCCAAGGTAAGTTGATGCCAATCGGACTGTCCCGTCGTCGTTTCACAAAACCGTGTTAATATCGAAACCATATGCAGCACGAACGTACACAATTGAGTATCCCCTTTCTTCGTTCTTTAAATCCTTATCCAAGGGAAGCTTGTATTTTGGTATTCGGTTCGCTCGTATCATGTCCGAACTGTAGATGACCCTGCGCGTAAATATAACAACAAAGGTAACGATGTATAGAAATTGTCGAAATAGAGAATGTGATGAGCAAAATCAGGTATTGTTTGTGATAGTCGTACAACTACATTTTCAGTGCTTTCAAGATCCGGCTGACCTGGTAATATGATGTTATCCCCAGCGCCGTTATAGACATCGAAGCGATGCTTAAAATAGGTATTTTAAGTACCTATAAAACATATGCTGAAGCAATAAGTGCAAACTTTGAATGAAAAACATATACCTATGTAAATGTGTAAAACCACTAGAAGAGAGAATGACTAAGAGACCAGTAGTTTTCAGGGTTGGTAATGGAGATCCGGGAATTTTTTTTGCTTTTAAATATATTGCTGTTAATGACCTTGCTGCGGTACAGGAAGATGCTTCAGGTAATTCAGTAAGCGTTGATGGTCCTGCAGGTATATCATCAATTGAACTTATATTCAATGACATATCGGTGATTTGTATAAACGAATCGCCCTGGGCGGTCTTCGTGTTTGTGTTCATAAAACTCGGAATACTTTATTTTTTTTTTAAAGTATATTAACATAAAATAAATTAACTTACTTAATTGAAATAAATCTTCCGTATGAATATTTCAATAAAACACTTTTTATTTTAACTATGAAAATTTTAAAATCGGCGCTGCAATTAATTGACCTGTAACACTGAATTTCTGCATTCAACTGACGACAACAACAAAACGAAACGTCACAATAYATTTGTTGATACTAAGAAAATATGAGTTGATATATTATCTAACGGTTCTGATAACAGTTGTAGACAACAAAAAAATTTCTTAGGAATTTGTGACAATTTACTAAAGGCCGCCTCAGGGCGATCTTGCTGTTAGAGGGTTAAGAATCGCCGGCTGGAACTCACACAGAAACTTTTTATGTAAATTGTATGTAAATGTGTACATATGCATATTGTTTCATGCGAAATTTCCGTTGACACGGACAACCAATGGCGAAGCTCMCTTTTTGTCAGAGTCATGTGTCGATGGACCGACGCGGCAAARGCGTTGTGTTGTTGGTASAAAATCTKAGCTGTGCCGAAAACACAAACGAACGATCGCCAATTGCCACTGCTTCCCTTGCCGCTCTAATAGCTTTACCCACGAACTTCTGTAACTATGTATGCATTTGTATGAGCGTACATACATATCGACGCAGATTTTTGCAAGCCGCGAAAAATATTTTGCACATTCCTTGAARAATACWGTCAATCCCAGTTATGTGCCACAATCAAAGATACAGATGTTTGAGGTTTGTAAAAATAAAAATATRATATGGCACATAAACGAGTGCGAAGATTTAAGCGAGTGGTACTTAAAACAATAATTAGTATTTCATAAAACAAACCGTGAGATGCAGCAAGATATGGGCAGTTAAGAGGGATGATATTCATTTAAGCGGAATACTGCTTAACCGGGATTCACTGTACACATAAATCAGAGGAATATTGAATATTTTATTTTGGCACAAAAACTATGTTGTCAATTTTATTCTATACTTATATTTGCGGGGTTGTCGCTTTTTCCTTCTCATACAAATATCAGAAATTGTCATTTAAATGAAATGCGATTCACATATAATATTATTGTAATATATGTATTATAATAAGTTGTTCAGGATATTATGATAGTATGTCATATATCGGTTTTCAAAAAAGTCTTGCCGTATTTTCGCTAGTTGGCGCTGAGAGCGCGTAGTCCTAGTTTTATTCGTCGCATCGGATCATGCTATAACTTTATGGAAAGCTCATTTCACGCGCTAACACGCGTTTCTTTTAAATCGTTCGTGAGTTATAGCGTCGCAAACATGGAGCAAAATAAAGAGAAAATAGGGCAAATTTTACAGTACTACTAGGATAAAGGCAAAAATGCATCTCAAGCCGCCAATGCAGTTTATGGATCCGATACAGTTTCCATTTCCACCACACAACGATGGTTTCAACGTTTTCGCTCTGGTGTAGAGGTCGGGGATGCGCCACGCTCCGGAAGGCCTGTCGTCGAAAATTGCGATAAAACCGCTGAATTGGTCGAAAGAGACCGGCATAGTAGCAGCCGTAGCATCGGTCATGAGCTGGGCATGAGCCATCAAAAAAAGTTTATGAATAATTGAAAATTCAATAAAAATACCGCAAGACTTTTTTGACAAACTAATATATACATAAATATATATCATATCTACATACTCATACATATGTAGATTTATAATATATTAACAAACATATGAAATATTTTAAAATTAGCTCTTATTTGTATATTACCTACAAATGTTACTTTGAAAATAGCATAATTTAATGATGAAGTTATCAATTTTGCATGCATTCATAAAATACGCATGTGCATGTAAGCGTATTGAATTACATATATGCAAAAGGCTAACATACGTCTGTAATAGCAATGTATATTTCTGAGCATAATTTTCGTTGAATGCTCAGCTCTGTTCACGCGCCACTGTTAAGATTTCTAATTCTTAGCTAGCTGTGGTGAAACACGCCGTTGTTGGACCTTCTCTATAAATATACGTTCTCTGGTCGACATATAGATGACGCAACCAGGGGGCGCTGGATTCAAAAATACCTGTTTACTATGGAAACCACATTGTATGTATTCACGTTCATCTATCTTGGTTTTTGCCAAGGACAGAAAGTAACAGTTATTGGTGTCGACAACTTTTAAAATTTTAATTTTATTTTTTCTTCATAAAATACTCTAGTCCGGTCAATTTAGACATAAAAATAGTGATCAAAGAAAGAAAATTCCGGTAAAGCTGAAATTTTGTAAAAATCTTATTTTTACCATAAAAAAAGAGTGAGCTGATATGAAACATCGAAATTATTTTATACAAGTAATAGGTTAAAAAGTACAGATTATGACAGGAACTAAATATGGTACGCAATGAAATGACAGATAGTTTATTTAACAAATCATTATTTTCTTTATATACAACGTTTTATCCAAATATTTGTTTAAAATCACGTCAACTCAATTATTTTCATCAGTGACTTCCGTAATAGTTACATTCGAAGTTGCCTCTGACGGTGTGACTGTGACAATTGGTCGATGATAACTGAAGTATGTTACAAAAGTATTAGACATCACATTATCAATATATCTAATAAATGCAGCATCTATTGTTGTTTCATATCTTGTAGTACATTCTCTCGGATTGTTGTTTATTTCCAACTGAAATTCTTCTTGGAGGAACGATATTAACTGTTATGTTACTAAAAAGTTGCACATGTGATGTTAAGGTCACGGAATGACCTGGTCGGAGTTTTGTAAGACTGTTCTATAAATGCCTTCTAATTTTTTGGTTTTCTAATATTCCTTTATTTTACTGACAAGAAATTGAGTTTGATTTTAACATTTCATAGTTTTATTGATTATAAGTTTATTTTGTTATTAACATTTCTTAGATTTTTTTTTATTATAAATGAAGATAACTTTCTGCATACTTGTTTTATTCATCGCGTATGTTCAAGGCAATATGATGTTGAAACTGTTACCGTTTTACGATGTTGAGGGCACACAGGTTTTTTGTAAATAATGCAGTGCTCATATCTTTTACGGCAAATTGAGCTCGGGCAAACTGCGCAGTTGGCTCGCTGACTTGCCTTTCTCTTTTTTGGAGCAACATCCGCCGAAGTGCTTAGTTGTTCTGCTTCTGCCCGAACATTCCGG